TTTTTTTTTGTTTTGTTTTTTTTGTTTTTGTTTTCACCTCTTTTTGCTCTATCTTCTTTTCAACGAACATTCTTTCCCACTCTTAAAATTTGAGAATTTTTTAAGAGAATTATTCTCCACCAGCGACATTGTGTTTCAGTTTTCAAGTTCCTGCTTGATCACTTGAGGCTTACCAAGCAAAAATATTTTGCCTTTTTTTGTTTTACTAAAACAAATGCTCTAAAAATGTCCTTGTCTTCTGTTTACATAGGCAGTCAACAAACTCCATACTTGGTACCTTGCTTTCTTATGGATTTACTTCAGCAGGTAATCGAGTAACGACCAACAGTAACAATCCCCTACCTTCTTAACCACGTCCTTGTCTTCCAGTATCCTTTCTGATATCAAGTATTTAGCATTATGCACACAAGTGAATATAATAAATCCGGCGCCCTCATTGGTCACAATTTACGTCTTATATCCTACAGGTGAATATAACTCGCGCAAGCGCACGCTCGTTTGTCGATTTGTGCCGCTTGCAGAGATAAATAAAATAGGACATTAAAATAAATAAACAAATAAATAAACTTTGTCTCCGTTATTTATGATATTCACTTGTGTTAGAAATACTAAAACAATAATTCTCCGAAGGCGAGGCGAATACCGGGGGATATTTACCTCGCCCCTCGACTTCGGCGAATAATTGTTAAATATATTTAAGTTTCGTCTTCAACCGTGATTCAAAACTACTTGTTGATATTCACTTGCGTAAAAATATTAATGTGCAAGAGCCAAAAGAAAACAATGGAAATAAGAACTACTGACCTCTATTAGTCTACTAACCATTTCACGGGTTAAGTAAATCGACTCTTCTGCCATTTCTACGATACATTTTCCTGCTTTCTCAATTCCGGTATTGATGGGTTGCAWGCATTCCCAAGAGAGTCAAAAGAYAAAAACATGGCGGCCATTGTAGTGCCGTTAACAATGTATGCTAATGAGAAATCTTTTGTTAAATGGCACCAACATGGCCGCGATGACGTAACGTGCAATCGAAGAATTGTACTAAACTCTTTATCGTTCCTTGCAGATTTTACTTGCAGGAAAATCCGTCAATCTCATTCAAGGCCTTGGAAAGGTGAATAATACGTTATGCTTAAATGATTATTTCAAAATGAATTACAAGACCATAAAACATACTTTTTTTAACCAGCATTTGTTTTGTACCTTATAGATGGCTGAGTCGCCTGTTTCTGATGCTGAAGGTAATTTAAATAGCCGATATTTAACAATTAACGTTTAACAATAACGCCTAGAGAAATTAGCTGCATTTTTAAATATTCTATGATGGAGAGCGCAGTCCGTACCTCACCTCGCCCTTTACCTCGCCATTAAAGTAATCACAGCTTTTCAGTAATTAAAGTTTCCAATGCTTTTTTGCAAAGCGCGTGCAGATGGCTTCAGCACCGTGCTCCGTTCACTTGTACAGTACAGTTCTCGACCAATCAGAGCGCGCGTAACGAGGTAATAAGCCTTGTTACTGATGCTAATAAGGCGGCCATCTTGAAATATGGGATACAGGGGGGAGGGGGAGGGGGGCAAATACGTAGAAATATTCCTAAAGCATAGAGTGGCGGTATTATTCTTTCAAAAGAAATTAAGTCTTGGTGTTTCCTTCGCATATTGTTCCAACTACCAGCAAATCCAATTGCTTTTTAGATGTGCTTCTCATTGAAAAGCATAAACTTATATAAAAAGACATCCTCACAGCTGTGCAGTCTATAGTTTTTCAGAGAGTTGCCCTCGGCAATATTAAAAAAAAAATAGAGTGCAAGATGGCCTACGGTAAGATGGTCTACTGTAGCATACTGACCCGGATATCACACCAAATAGTCTAATCTCTGTGTTTTGCTATTTATGTTACAGGCAGTTCTCTGTATCAAAACTTTCTGAATTCATTGTTGTCAGCGGTTTGCGACAAAAGCGCATACACCGCAGAAGGATTCCTCGGCGATGACAAAGTTCATGATGGTGATACTGTCGGTGAATGCCATATTGCATTAGCAAACAAGGCAGATATACTGGCTGTTACCAAGGAAATTGGTGATCCTATGTTGAGGGAATCWTTACTGACGTCCGCGGTGGTTGCACAGTCTGCAAAAAGAAATGAAAGGTTTGGCTGGAGTGTATACTGCCTTGCGTGCAGTGCTTAGCTTGATGAAGCATTGAGGGGTATCCCCCTCCCCCTTGTTTGTTGTTGTTGTTGTTGTTGTTTTACTATTCAAAAACATATTTCATTTAGCTAGTAAGAAATAGAAAATAACGCGAAACCGGTTAGTTTCTACTTGCAACTTATATTATGGTAAAGCCGGCTTTACATTATATTTCGCTAGAATACAGTGGAAGAAGAGCCACTCTGTGGAATCCACTGTTAATCCCATTATATTTGTATTATTATTATTATTATTATTAAAGCCATTTTGTGTGGCTGAACAGAAAATTTGAGAATTTGAAGATCTCAGTGGAAGAAGAGCTACTCTGTGGAAAGCACGACACTGCTAAACCCATTTACATTGCCGTGATTCTTCCTGCCCCACAATATGGCTGATATAAAACTGACCTTTCCGTAGGAGCTACAAATAGAGCAGATTTTCTACATGTACCTTTTCTCCCCTGGGTTCCTATAGTCCTTCCCCGCCACCAAAAATTTTGATTGCGAAACAAATGATATTTGTCATTTCGATCGGGCAGTTCCGGAAAACTCGGCCTTTCGAATTAAGGTAATCTACTTTTCCCGCTTTTTTTTTTTTTTGGTTCCTTTGGTAAACGCGTGTACCATTCGCCCAAGTCAAAGTTTTCTGCTCTTTTCTTATCATTACCAAATGAATTTTTAACCGGATGAATTATTTTAAATGGTTAGCGCCCCAAGGCTCGTCCTTTAGTCTTAGACGCTGCTTCATCCTCCTCATCTTACTTTTATTTCTTAACTTTTTTTAATATGTTTTTAACCCATAGGAAAGATATCAAACAAGTGATGCAATTACACTCAGGTGCGATTAAAAGTTTTCTCTGTGCAATAGCTCATGTATTGCTATAAATAAGTTGGTATCTGTGCTGTGGAATTAGCGGGAGGCCCGCACCTTGGTCCCGTCTGTCCCGCGTCTCCGTGTATCCTTTACAACGTCTCATTTACCCGTTCGCTTTAATGCCCTTAAAGCGTACACCAATGGAGGGAAGGGTTACTGGGACACAAGCCATCTTGTAATTAAAGAATTTAACTATCGTTGTTAGTTGATGATGTTAAGCTTCAGTACTGTAGTCGATAATTTCATGTACGTCACGGTAAGTTCATAGATCTTTAAATCTTTTCTTAATTATTGTTTGACAGGACTGGAAAATTGTTTGGTGCCTGTCGAAGTGTTGATCAAGAAAAGTTTAACACCTCTATTACAAACCAAATATACTCAGGTAAAATAATAACGCATTTCGACCTCGGCCACTGCGTGTCGTGGATACCTGTACACGCCCCATCTCTCTGTCTAGAAATGCCTCGAAAATGCTTCAACATTYCCATAACGTAATTTTGAATTTCCAGGAGCAAAAGTTTATGCGAACGCATACATGCAGATTTCCTCTAGCGCTTGCAATGCTTTTAGAGAGAGTCCCTATTTCACAAAGCTGATCGGTTGTATCATTATTACCTTGCAGGCGTGTGGTGCATTGATCTCCCTTCTCAAATCTGACTACAATCTGATGGATCATTTGAATGCAATGAAGGTGGGTGATTTTTCCTGGGGGGAAAAGATGAAGCTATGAGTAGTTATCTCCTTATTGAAATACTGTAAAAATTGCTATGCCTGAAATCTTACGGAACAATATAGACCTTAATGGCCTCTGCGTATATAACGGTTTCCAACTTCAATCACGTGTCATTCCCTAGAGTATCATTTCTTTGTTTAACGGTTTGGCGTGAGAAGGCACATTAACATGGATACGACTGAAACGAATCATCTTACTCTCAAGGGAATGACATGTGATTTGAAATGCATGGGGAAGATTGTCCAATGTTTCGTATTTTACATGATTTACTGAGATTTGCTTCTCATTTGATGACGATGTTTGCAGAACTTCTTCTTACTTGAAGCAGGCGACACCATGCATCACTTTTACCTTGACATATTCAAGAAGGTAAGACCAGAATTGATAAGTCATTCAATTTTAACCTGCTACATATATTTGTATCTGCCTACCAAGTCAACGTTGAGAAGCTCGACCCTTATTTGTCCCGAATATTCATTTCCAAGACAGTCTGAAGACAGAGACATGGTGGCCATGTTGATGGTACTAGTAATATGGAAGCTAATGAAAACAGTGTTGTTAAATACCACCAACACGGCGGCAATAATGTAACTTGCAAACGAAGGATAATAAAATTAATATGGTTTAGCACAAAGGTTTCTTTACAAGGCCAGGGGTTTCATTAAGCGTCGGGGATAAGAGAATGGTCCGGTAAATGAGGTAAATTACTCGGTAAATTCTTCGGCTTTAAACTTCCATTTATAGCTTCAGTAATTCGTAAAATGTTAACTTARACTCTCCTGCTAGTTCATGACCTTCTCCTATCAGGTCAAAACAGGTCTAAAGTGCCTATCAGCCTTCTGACAATATTTACCCTTCTGAAAATATTCTTGGAGTTATAAAGATTTTTCCATGTCAAATGTTAATGCTGTGACGTATGAGGAGGCATTTATGGTTATTTGTTGTTCCTTGTAATTCCCAATACCGGCTTCTATGTGAAAACTAACCTGAAATAATTTATAAAAGAGTCATGGGGTAAAACAATGACGGATTTCAAGTTTAATTTATCTGCCAGTAATGTTTTGTTTATTCAATGATTACTCCTCATACGTAACAGTCATCATTTTTTACCATATGGCATGGAAAAACCTTTATAATTTCACTCAAACTATAAATTTTATTCGGGCTTTTCGGGATCTTACCCCACGTGAAATCAATACTGTGAATATTGTCAGAAGGGTGATAGGCACTTTAATATAACCCCAGTAAAAGTCATCTGGGGTGAGTTGCACGTACACTTGACCCCTACTTCAAACCTTTGCTTTCTAACTAAACGTTCTACAAATCTTTTAGATTCGACGTCGTCAGCCATGGCAGGACATATCATACCTTAATTCTCTTCTCCAGGAAGCTTTATATCCTCGATTTCCTAGCTATATAGACAGGTATTCAACTCTTACTAGATCATCTCACTTATTACACAGCGATATCCCAAGTGCATCAAAGCAAGGCCTTTTGGATTACAAAAATAGAGCGCGTTAAAAAATTATCAGAAGTCCATAACTAGTTATGGACTTCTGAGCCGGCATTAACTACACGATTCAGATTGAGCGTGCCCTCTGCAACCGCTTAAAGGGTGTGGTAAGAGAGACAAAAAATCATACACTTGTCGCACAACATACCTGCGTTGCAAGTTGCAAAGCGAATGCAGTTTGAATATTACCACCCCGCGCGCAACAAACTAGCGAATTCGAAAGATCCTTCGTACGAAAAAAATATCGTTCTCGTCTGTCGTAAAAAAAAGTTAGTGTATAATGCTTCCAAAAACCAATATATTCTCTCATTTTAAAAATGTGACTCCGATGTACTTTTTAACGTAAAAATGCATTCTTTATTTGCTTTTAGGCTTGCTGTAAGTCTCACTCCTGTTGTCTCGGGAGCTAAAAGTTCCTCGGTGCAGACTCTACAGTCTATCACACTTAACTACAAGGTACAAGCCAATAGAAAACAGTTTAAAGTCTAATTTTTCCAGCCCTCTAGTACATTTATTTCCTGCAATCAAAGTGTAGTTCCCTTGGGGAGAGGCAGACGAGAAACTGCTCGCAGGAAAGTACCTTTATACAGTCTCGTAAATGCTGTTGTTGCATTTGCTGCTGCTGCCGCTGCTGATGTTGTGGTAAATACGAAGATGTGGATGATGATGATGATGAT